GGCCGCCTGCCGGCCCCGTGGCCTCTCTGGGTCCCGCCGCCTGCCCCACGCCCCCTGCCCACCCTTCCTGGCGGATTCCTGGGGTCTTAGGGCGTCTGTACCCCCAGTCGGACTCAGTTTCTCAGGTGACTTTGGGGGGCTTCTTACCCAGTTCTAACCTGACGCAGGCGCTGTCTACCCCCCACTGCTGGTCTCAGACTATTGAGGTCCGTTTCCCGACATTTCTTCAGCGTTTGCGTGTGGTTGGGGGCGTCGGGTCTGCCAGGCCTGCCCGCTGCGTCCCCGAGTCCAGCTGCCCGGTGCCCTGTGGCCGCCGCGCGCAGTGTCTGGGCTGCTGTGGGCTCTGCTGCTTGGGAACGGGTGTGGGGTCATGGCTTGGGGTCCGCTTCGTGTGGCGGGCCCGGATGAGGGTCGTGGGGGACGGTGCTCCACCCTCTTCCGGGGCGACGAGCTTCCGGGGGCTCCCTTGGCCCTCTGCCCCCGCGAGTCTGGGCGCTTGGCGGGGCTGGGACCCTCCCCACAGCCTCAGGGTGCCCGGGGCCCCCCTGCTCCCGCTCTCCTGGGGTGTGGCGCCCCCCACCCCAGAGTCTCGGGTGGACATCTCTGTCTCAGGCCGTGCCCGCCGGCTCCTGGGGCGCAGCCCGGCCCTGGTCAGCGAGCCGCGCCCTTCCCGCAGCTGTTCGCGGCGGTGGAGCACGGGGAGAGCCTGCAGCTGTTTGAGCGCGGCGCCCGCTCGGCGCACAAGCAGGAGACGCACACGCTGGAGGCCGTGAAGCTGCTGGAGTTGGAGCTCAAGCGCACGCTGGCCCGGCTGGTGGCCGACCTGTTCGGGGACGGTAGGTGGGGCCTCCGGGGGCTGCGCGTCCCTGCGCCGGCGTGGGGGGCGGGGCGGGGTTTCCTTCCGTGCTGCTGGTGCCCCTTGGGCCTCCCCCACCCTCGGCGCGGGGTCCAGGACAGACTTCATCGTGGGGAAACTGAGTCACCCGCCCTGTCCTGGGTGTGTCTCGTTGCTCCGACGGCTCTGTCCTGACCCGCGGGTGACCGCGCTGGCCGGCTTTTGCTGCGCGCTGAGCGGAGGGCCGCGAGGTAGTGCCCAGCACGCTGCCCGCGACCCCGGACGCCGCAGCCGCGCCTGCCTCCCGGACCGGCCGCCCGAGCCTGTGAGCCCCCGCTTCTCCGTTTCCTTCTGTCCTGTTCGCCCTCACCTGTCTGGGTGGCACGTCATCTTCTCTGCAGCAGCCGCAGTCCCCCGTTGCTGAGGCGCCGGGTGGGCAGGGCGCACCTGCTGGCCCCCGAGGCGGCCCTGGCTGCGGACCGGCCGCACCGTCCTCCAGCCCGCCCTGGCTCAGCCCTTCAGCCTGCCCTGCAGCAGGGGACAGCGGTGGCCCCCCACGGCCTGTTGTCCCCCAGCCTGGAGGCCTGTCTTCGGCTCTGGACGCTGCTGCGCCCTTTCTCTCTCCCGACTCCTCCGCCTTGCTCCTTCCTGCCTGCCTGCTCCCCCCTCCCTCTGGCCTCCTTTGCCCTGTTCCCTGCGCAGGTTTCTTGCTGGACTCTGAGGACCTGGGGTCTGGGCGCCCAGCCGGCAGTTCCGCGCTTCCCCAGTGGGGGGCAGCAGAGGGCTGTGCTGTGGCTCCCGGTGGGCGTCTGACCCTGGCGTGGGCTCCTGACTCCACACTGGGGGCCGGCTGTGGCCTGCCCAGCGTGGGGGGGGGGGGAACGGGCGCTGCCCGGCCACCAGGGACGCTCCACCCCGCTCCCGAGGGTGGCCTGTGCCACGCAGAGCCTGCTGTAGAGGAGGAGGTGCACGGAGGTCAGAGCCCCGTTTTCCGGGACACCTCATTCAGGAACCGCTCTTGGGCCCCCGGCTCCACGACCAGGGAGAGCCAGCTCCTCCTTATGAGAGGAGACCCAGCAGCGAGAGGGCGGGCGCTCGCGGGCAGAGCCGGCGCACCTGCTGGCCAGGCCGGTTGCGAGCCGCCCCCACCTGCGTCTTAGGGCGTCCCCTGCCCGTGGGGGGGAGGGGGGACAGGCTCAGGCTGGCAGCTTGAGCAGGGCTGCGCCGCCCCTCCCCCGTGGAGCTGGGTGGTCCCCTGTCCCTGCCGTTGCCACGCTGGCCTCAGGGAGGGGCCACTCAGCCGTGCTTTGTCCAGCTGTGCTGGGCACTGCGGAGCGCGGACAGCACAGGCTCCCGGCAGCCCGGTCGCGCCTCCCCGCCCCCCGCCCTGCTGTGGAGAGCCGGGCTCGGCGCCCCCTGGAGGCCGACGGCTGGTGTCAGGACGCCTGGTGCGCGGGCAGTGGGAGTGCATGGCTGGCGGTCACCGCTGTCCTGATGAGGCTCGGCCCCCTGGGCCCAGGCGGGGCAGGCAGGGAGTGGCCGCAGGGTCGCTGGCCGCCTGGATTCGCCGGGTCTGGCGTTGCTGCCGGGACAGGGCCGGCTGGGGGTGGGACCGGGGCGG